TGCTGAGTGTATAGCATGTGGGACAAAATGGTGCCTGACCTAACTACAGAAAATTGATAGCAGCTGTACTTTAGCAGGCTTTAGGAGTAACTACTTCCTGACTTGTGTATTTGTATAAAATATCTCCATACACAACTTAGCTTAGTATAGTCTCCCAAGAGATAAAGCATATCAAGTCAAGGAACCTGAAAGTGTTTATTTTAATTTACCGCAACCGCATTAAAGTAAGCCACCATTCGTTATTCTTGTCAGTTCTTTATTGGTTTTCATCCTAAAGACTAGCACATTTACAGCATACATGGATTGGATGAACTAGAATATATAAAACAGTAGCCATGTTTATGATATATTAATACTGCCTCAAAACCAAATAAATAAAAATATTTCAATGCACAAAGCTTGGCAAATACAGTTGTGTTGGGACAAAACGGTGTTGTATTATACAATAATTTTACATGTATAAATGAAACAAAAGGCAACTGTGCTGTAGGTACTTTCACAGAACATACACAGAACATACTTGGCAACAGTTTTTTTACCTCTGTATGTTTTATAATTTAAAAAATGTACTCAAAAAAGAACATTAGACAGAACTTCATTTTACAGTAATCCTTAAATTTGCCTCTCCTGTGCAACAGAAAAGCTTACTTCACCCTTGTGAAGTGTCCTATGTGGATTTCAAGTTTCACAGTTTTTCTTTTTTGATGAACTGCTCGAGATCTTACTGTTCATTACGCCCTTTAAACAAGCCCGTCGACGTGCATGTACTGACAATGTCCTATATATAAAATGTTAGCTGGACACCAACGTTTTACATGTAAGCATACTGAAATCGGAATATTTTAAACAAAATAATGCAGTACTTGAGACTGGTATTCCACCACTTTAAAAAGGTGAGCAAAAACCATGCACATACAAAATTCAGCAACTTTTTCTGATTACACTGGTATACAAAATAAATAAAGGATCGCTAAGCTCTAGAGTAGATCGGATGATTGTTGGCCACAGTCTAAGAGAGTGGCTCTGCTAACTGTTATGATAGACCCCTTGTTATTTTCTTCTGAAGCTGAACACTGGAAGATTTTTAGTGTAACATACAGGACTTAAAATATTCAACTATGTTTGAAATATACAAAATAAAATTATCAACTCATAAAAACTAAGGGATATAAAGAGTATAGTTTATACAAAAATAAATGTAGCATTTAATAATGGGCCAGGGACTGAAGGTTGAGCAGAACTAATGGAGTAACATGTCTAAAGAGATCCCATTGAAAAGTTTTTCACCATACATTTTTTGCACATTAGCAATAAAATAAAATAAAACCAACATTTATTAATTGGCAAACCGAGTTTGTAAAATTTCTAAGGGACTGTTCTATTGTAGATGATTTGTTCAGACCTGGGGTAGGTACTGCAATACATTGATTTTGCACAGAACTCAGTGTTTTGTTATCCTAGAGAGACTGAGGTAACAGTAACAACCAAGTTCAGCAGAACTCTCTGACCTGGCTTTGTGACATGCTGCTCAGTGTTAAACTGCAAAAAGCAAATGCAAAAACTGCTAGACCTGGAACCCCCAAACCTACATGGGAGCAGGATGAACATGACTGATTGATAGAGCAGTGACAGCACAGACAAACATCAGTGAGAGGGAGAAAGAAATCCAAAACCAGCCATATACTTACCTGGCTGTTGCTACTCTCACAAGAATAAATGAGCAGATTTTTCTATTCTAAAGCTTATATCCTTAGAAACCAAGAAGGAAAGGGCACAGTGTGCTGAACAGAGCTAGCTAGAGATGACTTAATCCTGTTAAAATTTGGAAATTAATGTTTAGCTGCTTTTTAAAAAAGTATCTTAGCTTCAAAGGCGTTCTTTGGGAGATAATTTCCGAGGAGATCTGTTGAACATTTTTTATCAAATGCTATCAAACTGATCACCTTAGTCATAAGCTAGAACACATCTGAGGTTCTCGTGCATTAGCAGCAGCACATGAGCAGTTCCTTTCTAGCAATGTGGGGCATTGCTACCTTCCTCAGAAACACCCTGAAAACAGTCATACTTCCCCCACCCCAGGATTCTGAACATCTGCCCAGGTAAAATGCAAAGATAAACAGAAACCAATTTTGATTGGGGAGTAATGAGGATGCATTGGGCACTTCGAGCATTTTTCTATTAACATATAAAATTGATATGGGGGAAAAAAAAATCAAACACTAATCAAAAAAATGTAACCCCCAAGATACTAATGCTTGCAATCCAGAAGTGACATAAAAAGCTACAGGTAAAAATGTGTTAGACAATATACGATACCACAGAACATACTGAACATGTCGCGTGCAACATTAGCGACTAGCTCGTTGCACTTGCCGTATAGTTTGAAGGGGCAGGGAGAACTGTTGCTGGCATTAATGGTTAAGCAGTTTTTGAAACACGTGCCCAAGTCCTTATCTGCTGAAGATGCGAGGAATTTGTTTTATTTGGACAGAACTAGAAACTAGACCTCATATGCCTGGCCTTTTATGTATTGTTAATTTCATATATGAAGATGGCATCCTATATACAGTAAAACAATTTATACTCCTGGCTTTTATTGTGCTGATTTTTTAAGTTAAACTTCTGTTTCTTGATTGTAACAATGCATTCTACAGTTATTAGACTGTCTAGGATCCAATCCCTTTTTATTTACAACTTTTGAGTTTTACTCTCAGTTTTAAAAAGTTTATGAAAAGCTCAATCTCAAGTCAACTCAGTATAAAAAGATGTTATGTGAAACAGCTGCCTAAGTGCCGTTCCTAGAGTCCTTGCCCTTCCAGGAGGTACCTAGCTATTTGCATATAGGTAATTATTAAGTAGCACAATATCTGTTCATCTGACATACACAGAAGGCTATTTAAATGGGCAGAGAGTCATCACACTATTCTCAAGCTAAGGTGTCAGAATAATTGTTACTATAGATTCCAATTCTGTAAGTAACATGCTCTGTATAACCTAGCGAAACGTACAAAAAGGTTATTTATCTCTTCTGGATGACAAAATCATGTATTAATCTAGAGTGTATCCACATGTTTTAATGGAACAGCAATTAAAGGACATAGTATGCTTATGTTTCAACTTTTCCATAAGTTCCTTCTGGAGGCCTGTAATACTTTGGGAAAGCCTTCAGTTGCAGGGAATTAAATGCATACTTGCGACATCCAACATTCTTCATTGTATTTTCTCGCCGACAACCCTCACTGGGGAAAAAAAACAAGCACAAAAAATGACAGCAGTAAAAAGGGAAAAAAAAAAAAAAAAGACTTAAACTAAGATGAAATGAACTGGTTATTTTATAGCATTAACAAAAAGTTGGTTATATTTAATGAGTGTTTAATTAATTTGCCACCGCAAATATTAAAAATGATGACTCATCATACAATGCTAGTAAGAAGCACACAGAATGGACACATGCTATGTCTGATTGCTAGTTTTGCATTTCTAAAAAGCAGCAGTGCATCGACTGAAAAAGTTCTTTCACGATGGTTTCATGTATTTCAGGGTACACTGTTGTGGAGTTCAGATGCCGCTTCATTGCACAAGGGATCCCAAGAGATTGCTTACAAGCAGTTCTGCTAATTTTTTAGTATATTAAGCTGAAAAAGAAAAACTGCCGTTCTCTCACTAAGAGCTTTAATTTTATTGTTCCCTGTATGTCAGTATTATCAGTACTTACTTAAAGATTAGAGCTGATACAAAAATAATGACTTCCCACTTATCTCCGCATGCATAAATTGACTTGAAAATGAACATAGTCTAAAAAAAAAAAGTCTTAATCATGAAATAGCAGCTTTGTGTGGGTGCAAAAAAGATTGACTGCATTGACAGTCATCACCCCAATGAAACAAAGCTGTGCAGAATTTAATTTTTACCCAATGTTTTGGTGCAACTGCCCCACATTACAAAGAGGTTCTGTGCTACAATAAAAAACTACTCCAGTTTTAAGGCTTCTTTACACTTGTAAATCTACTTCAGAATTCCTTTGATTATATCCAAAAACAGACATACAAAGAGGAAGCACTATCTTTTAAATATATATATTATAAATCAATTTAGGCTTGCAGGAGAATGTCTTTCCCTGATAGAAAACTGAAACCTAAACAATGATTTAATACTAGAACTTCATGGCAAAGTGTACAGTACACAATCTTATGGTGGAAATGTCACGTTATTCCCATCTTGGAGATGGCTGCAGCATCTATCAGGTCAACTGTGGGCATCTGCCTCAGAAGGAGGGTTTGGATTCTGGTTCAGTTTGAAAGCTCTCTGCTCTTACTGACCTCACCGTTCTTCTAATTTTGCTTAATTAAACTGACTGTGACTGCGTTTTGTATGTACCACCTAGTTTAACTTCATAAAACATCGTAACGTTTTGCTCTAAGAAACAGTTTAAGTTTGAAATTTGTCTCTGGAGCACATTCTGTGACTGCCTTTTATAGAATGGATCATATGCGACGACACTATTTTTATGGCATTGTTTTGTGTTTTACAGACAACCCCCCCCAAGGCTGTTGCAGTCAAATAGATTCATCAAAAATTTGCACAAATTCTAGATCACAGTACTAAAAAAAAAAATTAAGTTTAAACAGCATATATGGGATGCTGGATGAGCATTTTCACTCCAAAGTGAATTGTTCTGTTCGCAATTCATTCCACTGCATCTGGTTATTGCACATGTCCCTCTATGGCACAGGTGGGCCATAGAGATGCCGAGAGAGATGTCTTTCACACGCTATTTCATGTGCCATGTTTCTTCTGCTGGAGGCACATAAGCAATATGCACTACAGCATGTTAAATCTGAATGCCTGAATGAAAGCACAGACCAAGCTAAAAAAGAAAAAAAGATGAAAACTTGTCCCCATCAAAGTTTAAGAAAAAAATGAAAAAACCAACATTGTTTTCAAAAAGCTTAGGCTTTCATTCTAGATGAACTTAAGAGTGGTCTCACTGCAGGCCTAACAGTCATGAGCAAAGCCTTCATACTTTATTTAAACAGATTATTAATCTCAGGGAGTTCAGCAGAGATACTCCTACTAAAGTTACTTTCACATCTTGTTGGACCGAACCCAGGATGCTCATCACATTGCAAGAACAAGGCCAGAGTCCAACCTGACATTCCTTCACTTTGTAAAAAGGTAGATTTTGGAACCCGTACCAAATGAACCAGCATTAATCAGAAAGAAAAGATGATTTGTATGGAGACACAGTGGTAGTAGACACTGGCACATGGCATGGATATGTCCAATACCATCATACCATGGTTTTAAATCTCATCAGCATGAAGGCTTTACCTAAATTCATTGCAATAAATAGGATACATACATATATATATATGTGTGTGTGTGTGTGTATGTCTGTCTGTCTTTCTGGGCTTTTTTTCTTTTAAGAACAAAATTGGAAGAATAGTGAGGAAAAATACCAGCAGATAGTGTACTGTACAGTCTGATTTTGTGAAGACACAAATATAACCACTTTTTTTTTTTTTTTTTTAGTTTTTTTAATTAGAATATTCACCAAATTTAGGATTTTATTCTGATTTTTATTCTAACTGTGCTTTTTTCTTTTTCAAGCTTTCTCTCAGAAGCTTTCAAGTTCCATTAAAACTGATAATAAAAGCTATAGCTACCTATGTTTTTTAAGCGAGTTAATAAGAGTAGAAAATAGAAATCACAGTACTAGAAGAGTTCTCTTCAGAAGCCCAGTTTTCTGTCATCTCAGGCACCAAGCGAAGTAAATCCCTTTACGAATTGAGCAAACTACGTTAAATGAGGTTAGGTTTTTTTGATCAGCTATTGCTATTGACAAGCTCTGCCAGACCACTGCATCTACATAATCTTTCAGTTTAAATAGGCTTCTCCCAGTTTGGTGTTATATATAAATGATGATCAAATTTCATCTGCAATTATTCTGCGTGATTAAACTAGGTAAGCTGCTTTAGTCTCACCACTTAAAATAACTGTTAACCTACCAGCATTCGTTAATCTCTAAGTCACTATCAACATCGTATTTTATTAAAGCTGTCCAACACTTAAAAATGGAAATAACAGTAATATTTAGTCTAGTGTAATTAAAACAAAGCCCAATGGAAAACCTCAAACCCACGTACTAAAGGAACTAACTGATACCTCCCCCTTCTTGCCTGAAAGATTAAAGACCAGTATCTTTAACTTCTAGGATGATAATGAACCTGTTTCAGACTAAGTTCTATAACAGAGCACCTGAAACAGATAACAGATCATTAGCAGGCTAATGCCAATTACATCCTATTCCTAACCACAAGTCATTCTCTTTATGTCTTTAGTACAGTACAAAATGCAGATCTACAAATAGAATGAAATAATTCTGCATGCAGCGCACCGCAAGTTGTTTTCTGAGTGGGTACACTAGTCTATTGGAACATACTTAACCATGAGAAAGGAACAAGACTATGGTTCTACAAACTGTTCAGTAATGCAATTTGGATATTATGCTTTGAAATGAAGGTAGAAATTTGTTTATTTCTTTAAATAAATTTCTTATATTTTCTTATAAACCCCACCCGTGTTTTTATTTTTCTCTTCATACCTCGTAAAAATGAAAGGCAAGATTAGCATACACCTTAAATATACAAAAAGATACAAATTCTTTTCAGACAGAGTTCCTTTCTCTGGAATACATGAAACAAGTAACACAAAACTATATTTGGTAAGAGATCTTCAGGCCGGCTAAAGTAACGAGGTAACAGGCCAATGTCAGACTATGTTACAAGCACTGAAAGCAGAACAATAATTTAAAGTTCCAATACAATTCTTTTTGATAAAATAATTTGATGTATATTTACAGTTTAGTACAATAGAAACGTAAAATTGTAAGGCATAATAATAATTCTTGGCAGACAATGCTATGACACGTTCCTTTGTCCAGCAGGTACCAAGTGGCAATACACATTCAAGCACTTTTTTGTTTTTGTTTTTTTTTAACCTTATCTTCACTTGCAACGTAACCTGGCCACCAGGTATGCTATGCTCAGAAACAGCCACACAATCAGTAAATTGGGGCTGAGAGCTAGTAAAGGAATAGAGTAGAGGAGGCTGGGATCTAGTCTGAAATCTCGGATGGGCACCAAGCCACTCAAGTTCTTCTGGGTGACTACCTCCCGTGTTCCAATGCTGTGAAAAGGAAGAAGGTTGGGAGGAGGGAAAATAAAACAGAAAGGAAGACGGACATGCAAATGAATGCATAAAAAGAGATGGCAACACAAGGGGGTCAAGAAAATGAAAAAACATGGAAGAAAGCACAAAAAAACCCAGAAGATGAAGTAAAGAAAGAGTGGAAAAATATCTCAAAAATATGTATCAGCACAATTACAGAAATAAGGAGAGGGAAAGAGAATAAAAGAGAAAAATAAGAAAGAAGTACTGTAGTCTACTGAAAATAAACACATGTAGGTTGAACATAAATGGTTTTCCATGTTCATTCTTTCAGATTACCAAGCAATAATGTCCCATGCTGCTCTGCCATGCTTCCGCATGCTGCAAAGAAGCGGAGCTCTGAAAAGCAAGCTGAACATGAATAACCATTGTCGTATTTGACCCTTTCAAACATCTTTCCACGTAGGCTGCAGTGAAATAATTGAACCTCTTAACTACCTGCTCAATATGTAAACAAAAGCCCCAAACCACCCACTTACTCTTCTGCTTCCACACGAATTCAAGTGTGTATCAATATGCTTTCCAAAACGCGTGTGTCTGAAGTGCCTCAATATATGCCGGTGAAGGCAAGACACGCTGCACAGCCCATCTCATGGTGCCTCTGCTTCCTGTATTGCTTTGAGCACAGAAGGCCTATAGTGGAGAACACCTCTTCAGGTAACCTGAGGCTTTGTAGCACTGTGTTTCATTTTGGATCACTCTCATACCCTGTGCAGTCCAACCCTATTTTTAGCTTACAAAGCAACAACTAAATGCAATCTGTGAGCCTGATCCTGTTAGAACAAGCGCACTCACTCCATCCATAAAAGGTGATACATAAGCGTAGCAAGGGTAGGTAACCAACAGACAATGTCCTGGAGGACATCAGAGATACTCTGGAGGTGGTGAAAGAGAAAAATAGCCTTCAGATGCTGGTGACACTTCAAGTCAAATGGAATCAGGTGGGCAGGGAACTAAACCAGCTGTATTTCTGATCTGGATTAACACATCCAAATTGGTGATCACAGTATGTTTTCACTCCTGGTGCCCACACTGGATAAGGGCAGATCGAGCCTGTGATGCCTACAAAACCCAATTATCTTTAGTGGTGGGGTAGGAGGGGGAGATAAGTACCTTTGAGGAGAACCCACCATCACACATGGCACTGGGAAGGGCAAGCAGGATACACAGCAATATCCAGGCTTGACTCATTTCCCACCCTGAGAGGCGGGCAGCCCTGAGACTGCACTGAACTGTAGTGTAGGTTTGAGTTTTCTCCATCAGCCGATACCTAATGCCCACCGAACCTGGATAAAAGGAGCACCTGAGCTCAGGGCTGACCTGAGGACTGGACTTAGAAGTTGATGCAGCTGCAGTCTCCCATGTATTTGAAAGGCAAGTACTCCTTCCTGCCTGGGCTACTGGTGAATAATGAGAGCACACAGAGGAATGTAGCCGGTACAGGTAAGAAAAAGCAAATGCATTTGTTGACAATTGCCTGGATATAAATATGCACTGAAAGGTATTCAAAATATAGAAAGACCTCTGAAGGAGATGGTGAGGGAATATTAAGTGAACTGGGGTGTGATCTGTGAGCAGAAAGCTAATGTTGACTGGGAAGTGGCAGACAAAGCCTCAACAGAATAGTCTGGAGGAAGAAAACTGGTTTAGGATATAGATAAGAAAGTAAAACAACGGGGGAGGGAAAGAAGGAAGAAGGCTCAAAATGATAAGATGGCATTATGAACAACACATGCCACATCTCTGTCATTAAAAATTAGTATCAAGCTACTCAATTTTACACAAAGACACACACAGTGGGAATGCAGGCAAGAGCTGGAAAGTGCTTTCCCTGTCGCTGTTCACCCGAGGGGTGAGAAGTCACCTTTTGGAAAATAACCCAATATACCAAATCGTACAGAGTGTCTCATATCAAAACATTCATTGGCAGACTACCTCTAGGAGAGGCCCTAGAGAGGACCAGGGTAAAGAGACAAAGCAAATTCCCTGCTAATCCAGCTGGCGTATGGGAATCCTCTCTGTGCGGAGCGGCCGGGGCTGCCCCGTGCCGGACACAGACGGTTCCAGCCGGCTCCACTGGACCCACCGCAGGGCAGGGCTGAGCCCCGCAGCCGTGGCGGCAGTGCCCTGGGGAAAGCGCCTGTAAGAAAAGGCAAAACACTGCACGGCAGCGAGGAGTGACGGCAAAAGATGTGAGAAGCAGCTCTGCGAGCACCCAAGTCAGAGAAGAAGGAGGGGAGGAGGTGCCGCAGGTGCTGGAGCAGGGTTTCCCCTGCAGCCGTGGAGAAGACCACGGTGGAGCAGATATCCACACTGCAGCCCGTGGAGGACCCCGTGGTGGAGCAGGTGAGTATTTCCTGAAGGGAACTGGAGCCTGTGGAGAGAGCATGCAGGAGCAGGTTTATTCTGAAGGACTGAGGATTGTGGGAAGAACCCACACTGGAGCGGGGGAAAAGTGCAGGGAAGAAGGATCAGCAGAGGGGAGCTGTTATGGACTGACCACAAATCCCCGTTCCCCATCGCCCGTGCACTGCTCAGTGTGGGGAGGAGGTAGAGGAGTTGGGAATGAAGGAGTGAAGCACTTGGGCCTGGGAAAAAAGAGGTTGTGATCAGAAGATATTTTAGTTTTTGTCTTTGTTTCTTACCATCCAAACCTATTTGCAATAAATGAATTTTCTTTAAGTCGAGTCTGTTTTGCCTGTAACAGTAACTGGCAAGTGACCTCCCTGTCTTTATCTCAACCCACGAGCTTTTTCACCACTTTTTCTCCCCCTGCCCTGTTAGGGAGCGGCTGGTTGGGCGTGTGGCAGGTGGCCAAGGTCAACCCACCACCATTTTATTCTTAAAGCAGGTCAACCAGTGAAGAAATCCAACCGAACTTTTTATGTGTGTTTTATTGCAGTGAGTGGTCATATCCAAACATGACTGTCAGGGCTTTGTTATGTAGTCTTTAGTCAGCACCGTGGCAGCTAGAAGAGATTATTTCTGTCACCCCACTTCCAGCTGCTTTTCAAGAGCCCCTATGAGAGACAGCTCTTCTCTGTTGGCTGAACTGCTCATGTCACAGCTTCCTAATTGGTTTAATGAAAATGAGCTGGGCTACCTTAAACATGTAAAGGATTTTGCTACCCGGGCTGATTTTGACTGAAACTGGATTAGACCATATTCACGCAAACAGCTCCACCGGCGTATCTGACAGGGCAGTAATCTGGTAGGAGGAGGGAGGGCAGGGAGACACAGGTCTAGTGGGGAGTGTGGCCCTGCTGCAGGTGGAAGAGGCTATGTGATCCAGTTGGACTTTCAGTCTTGAGCTGCCTTTACTGGCCAGGTAGTCATTTCCTCTGTAGCCTGGACTTCCAGACATATCATCATGATTTTACTATTTGTAGGCTGTGAGTTACCATGTATTTGATTTGGGACAGGAAAAGCTGTGACTTTTTTATTAAAAGTGAGTTTATCCTAATAGGATATTTGTTTCTAAGGTGCAAGTCACAAACTTGTTATCTGTAAATTTCTGCAAGAATCTACAAGGAGCACTCAATGTTCCCTCCCTGATGTCCGTGCTCACTGAACATAATTATCACAGATACGTAATTATCACATGACTAGGAAGGAAAGGAAGTCCCTGAGGACGAGTAAGTGAGAACTAACACCTCTGAAGACCAACATCACATAGAAGAAGAGGGTGCTTTCTTAATTTTTCAAGAATAGTGTAAGCAAGAATGTGTTTCTTCTCTGGAAAGTTACCAGTGGAGAAGAAATGAAATACTTTCTTTGACTCCCACAACTTAATAATGCTTCTTCCCTGCCCTTCCAACTGCCACAGAAACTTCAAGAGTCTTCATGACTGAACCAAGCCTTCCTTTTCTAGTACAATTACACAAATAAAAGATCCAAGTGAAAAGAAAAAGCAAGTTTTCTGAATGCCCCGGAAGTAATTTGCAACTCTCTCGCCTCCTATGTCAGGTCATCCTGTCCAGGTTGAAATGGGTTTGGGTGGAGTTGGAATCCTACATTATTCATTCCATAATCCTATCTCTCTTGTTAAGCTCTGTTAATTCTGTGCCATTGTTCTCAAGCAGAATTGGCAAATAATTTTAAAAACACAATAACCTACCCCAAAGAGCAATGAGATGTGAGGAAGAAAGAGTGATGGGCTTGAAGAATGGTCTAATCTTAGTATTCCTTTAGTTCTAGTCAGTATTTGTTCTGCACAATCTCTCTTAGTGAAAGATTTAACAGAAGAAGAGAATGTCACGTCTTTCACTTGTTAGAGCAAGTCCCTGATGCTGCTAGAACATACAAGCCAAAGGTTTTGATTAAATTGGCCCTCTTTCAATATCCCTGTGTAGGGATTGCACATAAAGCAATGCGTTTCTTGGGTCAATATTGTATCTGATCCTGTGTCATATTAAATTGATAGTCTGAAGGTCCAAAACAATGTTGTTATTAACCTGTCTCTACTGTGTCCACGACTGCATTAAAAAAAAATTAATTCAGTAATTAATTTAAAGAAAATAACAAGATTCCTAGTACTATACTCATTCAGTTTTTGTTCTTACTAAATAAACAACTGTGCAACAAAGCTTTTTTCTTTCAGATGTCTAAGTTGACAAGCTGCATAAAATAGAGATATTTGAGAGCCACTTAGCTTCATTTTAAGTTAATAACTTCTCCCTCAAAAAGCTGTTCCAAGCTTTGTTTCTAATACCAAGGTTTAACTACTCTCTGAATGCAGTTTTCATGTACTGTACTAACTCTGTAACAATACAGCAAAAATGCAGCAAAAAAGTGAAAATAAAAAAAGTCTAGTGACGTCCAATTAGATGTAGATACAAAACCCAAATTAATAGTGTAAGAGGCTGCAAGTTATTATACGAGACATTTTCCTTCTAGGTAACTGAAGAGTAAGAAAGGGTCAAACAGCAAAAACATACAGAAAGGATAAGAGAATTGAACACTCTAAAGAATTTGGTGAGAAGACACACGGTACAGTACATTCAGTAAGAGTGAATGTTGAAAAACAGGACTGAACAGCATTGTTGAACTACATCGATAAAGACTAAAGCTAGATTTCTTATCCTTTCTTTTGGTATGTGAGTTACGGAGTTTTCCAGCAGTGCTTGAAACAAGGCATTGAACAACAGTAAACAGATTTGCTTTTTTTTTTTTTTTTTTAGTACAGTATTTAATTCTGCAAACATCTCTGCTGCTTCAGAATACAGAACATCATTATATTGATACGACAACAGCACACTGACACATTGTGATGAAATTTGGTTGTTGCATTGTGAAACACTCATAGTGACGTTTTGCCCAGTGAGCAGTGTTTCACTGCTAAAGAATACACATAGCAAACCAGTGCAAACTGCAAGCGTCTATGTTTCCAAGAACAAAAGACAGGTCATCCCTGAGAAATCTGCCTGGTCTAGAACTAAGAAACCCAGTGCTATGACAGTTAGGGTAACCTCATCATTAAACGACTTTCAAAGCAGCACCGGTTTCCTGTTCTGTAAGCTCAACATTAATTGAAAACATGTTTTTACATGCTCCTCTGAAAACCCCCAATCCACTCCTGAAAACGAACGCTCATCTGATCCAAAACTGGTAACAACCAGCTTTAGCATATGCAATGCACTAATACATGCAAGGGAGGGATGAGTTCTAGCAGCCAGTTTTGCAGTTTTCTGGCTTTATTTTACTTTTTTTCCCTTTTGATAGAAACAGAGACCACTGCTCCTCTGCAGTTTGCATGGTTCCTCATTTAGGAATAAGTGACACAGCCAAACTCTTACCTCCTCATACACTCCAGAGCCTGGGTGAAGACCTGTGGAGCCATTCCATGTTCATGCTGTAGGATCAAACACTGCTCTAGGGTGACCGACATGGCAGTCCTATCCTTGGCACTTTTACAGCTTGTAAATCGAACACCATTTAGTCTGCGGCATATCTAGAAACGGGATATACAAGTCATCATTCCTTCTTCATGCATAACCTTCTGTCAGAGAACACACCTGTACTTCTCCTCCTTAGGGGAACACAAATGTTGTGTAGGATTTTGATGTCAAAAGTTGTCATTGTTGAGAGAACAGAACTTTGTTA